CCGTGAGAGGTGGGAGGTGGTGGGGAGGGGTGTGGGGTCTTTGTGGGTAGGTGAGGAAGGGCATGCTGCTGTCTCCCTGTGTTTAAGCAGGAGCATGTTGGTTTATGGTTTGATTTTTTTATGTGACTCGGTGGGAACTGGAGTCTCTGGGTGAATTTTTTAGTGTTTGGCAGAAGGGTCAGGGGGGATGTCACTCTGTGCAGGATCAGGGAGAGAAAGATAATTCACCTTACTTTTTTTTCAGTGAAACAGCCCCAAGGGGTTTCCCAAAGTGCCTGTCTCAAAATTTGACTCATAAACCCATTTGTTACCATGGTCTCTACAGGAATCTGATCTGGAGAGATAAATTGCGTATGTGTGCAATTATACCATTGGTTTCCTTAGCACAAAAGCCCCCTTACTAATTTTTCTCCATCCTGTGCTCTTGCAGGTACATCTTGTCAATAACAAATGAGGATGAGATCCGGGAGTACGTCGTTGACCTCATTCAGGGGACTGATGGGAAGAAAAGTTGGTTTGTGGAAGAACTGCTGGCCAGGTGGCGAAAATCCTGCCAGCTGCCGTCCGAGCCTTTGCCAGTGTATCGGAAGAAGGATGGTGAGTGGTATGGGGAGGAAGGAATTGAAGTCTCAAATAAGCTTGTCTCAAGTTATTCTGTTTATAAACAACTACGTGCCACAGGTGCCTGTGACCGGTCCCATTTCTGTACGTCATGATAGTGTAAAGCCAGTTTTTCATTCACCAAGGGTTCAGGGACATCATTCTTTTGCTGGTAGTTACAAGCCTTTCTTTTGTGCTTATGCATGCTTTCAGAGATTGCGGAAGTGCCTCGGGCTGGAGAGCAGGCGAAAAAGGGTAAACGCAAAGGAAGGAACAAGCAGGAGACGCTTGCGTATGCGGAGCCAAGCGCACATGTAGAGGAAGTAAAAACTCCCCTCGACCTGGCCAAGGTGAGTGTATCTGGTGCGCGAGGGCAGGCTGTGTGTCACTGGGTGCTAAGAGCACACTTTGAACCTGGGCCGCGGGGAAAGGTAATACCAAACACTAACAAAAGATGTAATTTGAAAGCAGAAATAAGCTCCCAGAAGTATGAATCCTTCGTTGTCAGAGTCGTGACAAAGGGGATTACATACCTGAAAGTGCGTTTCTGTTTCCCAGCTACGTCACTGGGTCTAATAAATGTTTGCCTCCCCCTGCAAACCCTGTCTTGTCTTACGTACAGCTTCTGTGAGACACAGGTTTGTGTGTCTTTTGCTTACTCACAGATAGCATGCGGCGTGGCAGCCACAAGCTATAACTTGAGCAAATACTTTGGCAGCAGTCGGGATAGGTGGGGGTCGCATGCAGTTGTACGGTTGCCCAGTTGCAATGGCTGTTCCCGTGCATTGAGTGTTCAAAGATGACCGTGGATTTGGGCAGGCCGTGCTCGTACCCTCTGTGTGTGTCTGGGATTCTCACTGCTGTGGGGCAAATAATATGAGGATGGGGAGAAAGATTGTGTATCTTTGTGTCTGTAACAGAGAGTAAAATAATCATCAGGTAGCGACTACGTCAAAATGGATGGATGAGAGAGCAGACAATGGAAGCAGATGCTGTAATTCGTAATAAAAGGTATTTCTTTAAAGCAGAGGTGTGAAGGTTGAGGAATTAAGGAAGGCACCAAGGGGGTAGAACATTCCTTCTTGCTGTATTTAAAACTTCCCAGTCATGCTGAATAGAGCTTTAACTGGCAACTGAAATGTTTCAGGCTGCTGCAGAGAGGAGGCCTTGGGTGCTATAGAGGAATCCGAGAGGTATGCAAGTGCCTTTCCGCTGAGCAGCAGCTCTGGTTTGGCCGTGTCTCTATCCTGCTCAGCTCCACTCCTGCACCTTTAGTGTTGAGATTGAGATGTTACTCGATTTTGTGGAGATGGTATTTTTGCAATATTCATAAACAGTCTGAGCTGCAATGAAAGAAACTGCAAAATAAGAGCATAGAAATGGTAAAACCCAAGAAAACCTGCTGTTTTCAAGTTGTGCAGCAAACAGCAGTTTCTCTGCGGTAGTTAGTTAACTTCTTGCAGCTGACTTGCTTTCTGTTCAGCAGAACTGTTTCCCATAGTCAGTGCATCAAATATGATGATCTTTGCTGTTAAATATGTTTTTAATTACCTAGGCTAAATTTCTGGATTTTATTTCTGGTGTAGTGCGTTTTGATTTGGAGCTACTTGCTGGGATCCCAAGCTCTTTCCTGAAGTACAACTGGACAGCTGCAGTCCCAGGTTGCATCAAATACAGCAGATCACTCTGTTGCTGTCTGAGCGCAAGAGCGTGCTCCGCAGAAATGAGCGTGGGGATGTAAAGTGCACTTGACTTGCATCGTTAGGCGTGCAGTGGAGTCCTTCATGCTGTGAACATCGTTGCACCTCCTAAAATTAAATTCCATGATTTATCCAGGCGCAACCCTGAGTGACATCCAAATCCTGAGAGTCAGGGTTGCGCCTGAATAAATAGTGGAACTTAAATTTATGTTTTTAAACTCAAGTTTTTTGCAGCAGGGAAGCTGCAAATGCTTAAAGTGTTTGTAAAAGTTTGTGTTTGTAAGATTAAAAAATCACATATTTTGAACTGGAGGGTTAAAAATGGACAGTAATGTTCCATTTCCTTGTAGGTATCTTCTAACTTAATTAAAAAAAAAAAAAAGAAAAACAAATGGAGAATGCTCTGCCAGGTTTGCTAACCAAGGTCTCTTTATCTGGTTTTGTTTTTTTTTCTCATGACAGTAGTGTTTGGATCTGGCAATGACAGTAAAGCCAGTTGGGCAGAACTGGGGCACTGGCGATGCTGCATCCACTTGTCACTAAACCAGTAGCCTGCTGCTATTGAAAGTAGGTAGAAAGAGGCAAGACAAGAGGTGTCCTAATGCCACATCACGGCACTGTCACTGAGAAAAGCAGTGTGGGAGGACGTGTGAGGTAGAAGCAGTAGAAACTAGCTGAGGTGTGGGTCAGGGGGCAGGAGCAATCCTCTAGCGGTGCAGCAGGCAGAGAAAGCGGGTTGTTATTCTGTGGTGAATGAAAACAGGCTTTCTGGGAACGTGTTTCTGAGAAATCCTCTTTTCTGTTGTCGAGAGAGACTGGAGACGAGAGGCAAAGAAAAGCTGTGCTTGAGCTGCAAGAGGATTTTCAAGTGTGTCACAGATATGACGACTAAAGGCCAGAGAGTTTTGTTTATATTGGACTGTTGCTTGCTGAACCAGATAAGGGTAATAAATCCTAGTCTTTCTTGGTCGTGGCTGGTATGCAATTTGTGTTTGAAACCAGGTTCATCTAGTGTTACGAGACAGGTGTGTGCCTGGAGTGTGTTGTGCTTTCTTCCCAAAGCATCTGTTTTTGAGTATTGCCAGGGAAATGGTAGCAGTTGGTATTGGTCTGTTCCCCTGGAATGATTTCTGTTCTGTAATTATTTCCTGCAATTAACATCTCAACAATTCACTTCTCAGCTGGTACCTGCTGGAGGTGTCGGGTGGGAGGAACCCTTTGTTTCTTTGGTCAGGGTGTAAGGTCTGAGGGAGAAAACGGAGAATTCCACTATTTGATTATTACTCCAGCCATCATCTAAAATGTCTTGCTTTGTTTCTGATCAGGGTTTCTCTACTTCAGCTTGACCCAAAGCTTAGTCCCTGACCCAGTGCAGTCCCTGATTGAAATTCAGAGAGATGAATCACTGACTCCCAAGTCATGAAATGAGCAGAATAATTTACATTGCAGCTAAATACTTGAACATGCAATGTGTGGAAAAGCTAAATACTTGAACATGCAATGTGTGGAAAACCTCTGCTCAGGTGTCTGTGCTGGAGAACATAAAAAAAAATGCTGGGTGGTGAACTGGCTGTGAATGAAGAGGTCCTGCTGTCACCAACAGCTCTGTTTCTGGGGACAGGCACACAGAGGACTTCGTAGTTACAAACAGGGTGTTGCTATAATCTAAATAGCCCTTGAGAAGAGGTTTGAGGATAGCTGAGCTGCTGTTTGAAGCTGTTAAATACCTGTAAGTTGATATTGCAGGTCTGGAGGACTGACAGCATGCCTGCTCTCTAGACCCAAGCAGTTTTAGCTTTCAGAGGCAGGAAACATCAAGTGAATCAGCAACATCCTTATGTCCTTGTTTTGTTTAGATTCCTCGGACCTTTTCTGTCAGGCCTAAGCTTGTCTTTCCGTTGAATCTGGGGTCCGGTCCAAGTTTAATTCCAGTTAGGCAGAATAATGCTTGTCTGAGTCTCCCCAGCCTGTTCAAGGGTCGGTGCTTTCTCTTTGCTGCTGGTATTGCAGTTTGTTTGTTTATTTGTTTGCTTCTCAGGCACAGGAGAACAGCACTGGAGTCAGCAGCAGTAGCAATTCCTCTAAGAAGAAGCCCAAATATGTCAGCCTGTATACCAAGGAGGGGCAAGACAAGCTGGCCGTCCTGATCCCTGGGCGTCACGCCTGCGAGTGCCTGGGTCAGAAGCACAAGCTCATCAACAACTGCTTGGTTTGCGGGCGCATTGTCTGCGAGCAGGAGGGCTCTGGACCCTGCTTGTTCTGTGGTGCTCTGGTTAGTAACGAGGTGGTTTTTCTTTGCTGTGCTGGAACGTGGCGTCGTTTGCTCAGGGCTTTGAAATAGCACGGGGCTGAATTAGCCTCTCAGATCAACGTTCCTCTAGCAAAGTTCTCCAAGCTCTAAAGCTGAGCAAGAAAGAACCTGTACTATCTCCTTCCAGAGGAAGGAGAACTGCTGTGGCTTTAAGTCACTTTCTGTTTCTTTTATGATGTGCCGTGTTAGAGAGCAGAGAGGTTTCCCTCACAATTTACATCACGTTGGAGCTTGCCTCATTTATGACAGTCTGTAGCTGTCCTGTGCATCACACTAGTGTCCAAAATGTGTGCGAGGCTTCAGCCCCATCCTGTGCACAGCCCTGGTAGCCTTGTAAGGGGCAGGAGACATGGCCAAGGCCGGTGTGCTGACTTTTCTTCAACTCTTGTGCAGTATGCATCATTTGAGATACCTGTCACACCCTGTAATTGGATGAAAGGGCGCCTTTTGGAGAAAGGGGGCAAGTTAATGACTGCAGATTCAGTAAAGTTCAGGAGAGAGGAAAATACTGGTTGGATGAAGAAAATGTTTTAAATCAGATCGGTTCCTATTTTTGAAGATCTGTTTAACTGCAAGTGGCCAACAAAGAGAGAGGACCTCTGTGTTAAGCATTGTTCATCTGCTTGGGGAGGCTCTGAGTGCCTTTCTCAGCCTTTGAGATCACCTAGCAGGGTGCTCACCCACGGATCCGAGAAGGACCAAGCTGCACATTTCTCATGGATTGCTTTTAGTAAAGAATGAGCTTTCAGGATTCTTCCCGTGTAAATAACACCGAAGGGAAGGAGGGGTGGACTGTCTTAGCCATTTTAAACAGCTTACCCTGAGCTGTTGTCCAGGGGCCTGAAGCTGTGATGTCCTTCGTAAGTCTTCATTTTCTTTTTTTTCCCTTAGGTGTGCACTAAAGAAGAGCAGGACATTCTTCAGCGGGACTCAAACAAGAGCCAGAAGTTGATGAAGAAGCTCATGGCAGGTCCGTAGCAATTACACACCTGTAATGTAACAAATCTAGTCAGTTATGCAACAGCAGGAGCCCTCTGCCTCACTGTGTTACACTCGCCTTGATGTTGTGTAAGAATGAGAATGTGTGTGTCCTGGTGTGCGAATTGCCTAGATCCATTCATCTGAATTACGAAGTTAATTCTTTCTCAAGAGCTGGCACCTGAATGTTTCTCTGGGATGTAAATTCCCAGGACAGTTTGTGAACTTTATTTGCTTCAGACATTACTGAGCCACTTGTCCCTGTTGCTGCATGGTGTTTGTGGGGGGCATTACAAGAAGCTGGCTCCTTGTATCCTCTCAGCAAGCACTCGGCAGCATTTGTGGACTTCAACAGAGGTGATAACCATGAGTGTCAAATGGCAGCGTCAAATGTCCTTACCCAGAGGCCCCAAGGCTGCTCGTTAGGCCTTCCTG